GGTGCTGGGCGCCATACATTAAGTGCGACATTGGATACAGTGTTGGCGTGACCAGAGAGTGGCGACATTGACACCTGAGTTCATTGTATTGCTCTTATTTCGATGGTGCATTGCACTCTCTGCTTGGTTCATGACTATCTGAGCTTCTTCGTGATTTTGCAAATTGGTTTTCTGTCCTTCGCTCTCACTCATATTCCTTGCACATCCCACTCAGATAGCATCCTCAACTGATACATTGACCATACCATAGCTGAGACTGGGTGCACCTTCATCTTTCACAATTCTGCTCCTTCTTGCTTCTCCAGCTGCAGAAGTGAGCGAGAAAGCACTCAGTATACTCAATGCCGTGTAGACACCACTATCCCATCATCGCACATCTGATGAACAGGATCGCTTGGCGTCGGGCCGATCTTCAAGGAACTGATCCAGCCAAGAGGCCAGCCAAGATCTTTGATGATCTTGGGATTAAGTCTAATATACTCTTTACCCCTACCAGAAGCCTTTGGTGGCTGATATAATGCTTTCATTGGGTTGTGATTTGACAAAGGGTCCTTGGAGATGGCTACTGCAATCATGCCTCCCTGTGCTCCCACAAGGCCTGGCTGTTTGGGAAAATCATTTCAGCACCTGATGAACACCACGTGTACCCAGGCTCTCTTGGACACTTACTCTGAGGGGTCACAAAGATCCAAGCCGCACAGAAAAATTGTCAATTCTGCAATATCAGTTATGCCCATCCAGCAAGCAATTGTGGTCACTAGTAATCAACAAGTTATCTGTATCTGGATTATGCTACAACAAGTCTTGGAAAAGAAGAACTCAATGGGTGTGGTTACCAGCGCCTAAATGGTCATAACAGCCCATCTACACCACACATGTGCTTCAAAGTTTATGATCTCCGTATCCAGATCTGTATGGATTAGAATTCCTAACCCCTCTTTAGCCTACTATACTATTATCAATGCCTAGACTAGATCTGAGGACCATCCCTATAACGTACCCAGTTCCTTGATCTTCTTATCATCTAACTTCCTCTCATGCAGGCAGGCGATGTGAATATGGCGGTTATGAAGCCAGGACTTTAGTCAGGGGGTGTTTCCCAGACTTTTTGACAGTTTGGTCCCTGACATTTTGTGATAGAGAATTGATTTGTTCCATCCTCGGCAGCCTGGGCTGGGGATGGTTGGATGTGGGGCTGATGAGTCTGTCCTGGGGAGTCCACTCTGTTACCTGGCATAGCGTGGGCAGTTGCATGTGAGGAAGACAAGGCAGCGGTGGCCATGGACCGTTTCTGAGCAAGTAAATTCTTCAGGTAGATTGAATTGTAATGAACCCGAACTCAAGAATACTTCCAACAGCAGAATTATGCATGTGGTCTCAACTCGCACAAGGTAGTCCAAGTCTCATCGGCGAGTATCCAGAAATAAGACAAAGGTAGGAAAGAGGAGGAGGAAGGTTTCGCTAATAATTGATGAATACAATTGAATCGCTCTTCCATTGCCCCTTCCACTCCAGGAAAGACTCACGACCACAGAATGTATCTCCCCGTCGCCGTCACCGATGAAGTCTCTCTGCACCTGTCCCGACAGGTGGGCAAAACCTCTAGCACGAAGCTCCGCTATGGAGGATGGTGCTCAGCACATGCAGTCTTGAGTAGCAAACTGCTGTCAACTACACCGCGAGAACATAAGTCAGGTAAGCCTCTCTCTCGCTCTGGATATGCAGGTCTTGATCACCCTCAGCCTCACTCTGCCATTATACTACAGCTACGGCTCTTGGGGCCCTACTGTAGCTATGGCTACTGTATCTCTCCTCTCTCCCAGATGGCGTTGTCGTCTTCCTCTCTGGTGCCCTACTGTAGCTATGTCTACTGTATCTCTCCTCTCTCTCGGATGGCGTTGTCGTCTTCCTCCCTAGTGCCGGCCTCGCCTGCCTGCTCCAGCGCTCCAGGCTCTAGGAGCACAAGGCAGAATAAATGAGCCTACTAGGGCAGGGAAATCTTCGTAGCGTTGACCGGCCTTGCCCTGCCTCCCTGGTGCCCTACTGTAGCTATGGCTACTGTATCTCTCCTCTCTCTCGGATGGCGTTGTCGTCTTCCTCCCTCGTGCCGGCCTCGCCTGCCTGCTCCAGTGCTCCAGGCTCTAGGAGCACAAGGCAGAATAAATGAGCCTGCTAGGGCAGGGGAATCTTCGTAGTGTTGACCGGCCTTGCCCTGCCTCCTTGGTGCCCTACTGTAGCTATGGCTACTGTATGTCTCCTCTCTCTTGGATGGCGTTGTCGTCTTCCTCCCTAGTGCCGGCCTTGCCTGCCTGCTCCAGTGCTCCAGGCTCTAGGAGCGCAAGGCAGAATGAATGAGCCTACTAGGGGAGGCAAATCTTCGTAGTGTTGACCGGCCTTGCCCTGCCTCAGTTTGCTACCCCGTGTGGCTAAGATTTCCTGAACTGGATGGCCCAGATTTGCTGTCGGCTAGATTGTGCCTGGACCCATTGGCACTTGGAAGCTTCTGGAACAATGCAGACAGCCTTTGATGTGCACCAGATCTGTGGCCGTGGTTGACACCTGAGAATATCTGACTCTTTTTTTGCTTTTCTCGAGTTTGGTCTAACTCCTGATTTTCGTAAAGTCGACTACCTTTTCCTTGGAGCATGGGTCTTTGACCCTTGTACCGATACATGTTGACCAAAGGATTTTTCTGAGACCCTTCTGGAGCAGAAGACATGGGTTTTGAATCTTGAATCTTATGACGTGTTTTGTTGCTGCATGGATTTTGACTGGGTTCTTTGCAGAATCCAGTTTCTTGTTCCCTAGTCAAAGCATCAACATGTCTTTCAGGTTGGCATCCCTTGTGTAGCCCATTAGGCGTTTGACCTGTTACAGGGTGAATTGAATTGTTGTATGCACTTGTACTCTTTGGTAGGCTCTCCTCGCCGTCCCTTTGATCAGGTCTCACATGCATTGTATGAGCTGGGGGCATAGTCTGTTCATTTGCTCCATTTGACCATTAGTCTCAAGATGTCTTCCTGACGACATAGTCACTCGTGTTCTGTAATCTTCCATTAGCTTTTGTCAATGCTGTCATGTGAACTGGACATCTCTGTCAGATGCAGTTCTTGCTCCACTACTCTCCACTATACAAAAAATTGTATAGTGTTTGTATAGTTGTCAGACTATGCAAAATGGTGGAAAAAGCATCATTGGTCCACTTCCTCTACAACTCCGACTATCCAAGGGCTCTCCAATTCGCGTGACGGCAGAAGAAGACAGGGCGACAGCAATAGAAGACACACTGTCATCAGCATTTCATCCATCCAGACTAGAGGCGGACTCCACAAATTCGGAGGCAAATTGGAGCTCGACAGAGCACTCTACAATTAATGAGTTTTGCAGGCTGGGAACTATACAACGGTGGAGAGTGCTTGTCCCACGGGATGTCTGACAGGTATACAAGAGAATTTCAGGACTTGGTTTGCAGAGTTAGTGGAGCGACGAAGAGCGTATAGTGGAGAGTATTGAGGGAGACTCATACTCAGGAGCACAATGCGTTTGATATTTCTGAATGACTAAATCGTTTTTTTCTCCAGCCGGTAGTGGAATGAACATCACATGCTTAGAGGACAAGTCCACAATCAAATTGCTTGACTGTCTCTATTCCTGCTTTTGATCAGATTCACAATGTCTGTATTCTTCTGGTCCTTCCGGAATAGTAAGTGGTCTTAGGAATACCAATTGGTTCTCACATATGTGATTACATCTTCTCTCATTCCAGGCCACACAAACTGTTGCCGAACGCTAGCATGCGTTTTTCTCCAGCCGAAGTGACCTTCACCTGTCATGGCATTCCCCTAGAATCATACTCTTAATAGTTTCATCGTCATGGACGGAAATTCTTTCTTGACCTATGCTGGTTTGCAAGGATCTGCCGTCAGCCGTTCGGTAATCAGGAAGTGATCTGGGTTCGTTTGAAGAGTCTGGATTATTCATGTATGTGACTGGGTAAGGTTTATAGTTCATTAACAGGAGACTGAACACCAGTCTGGGCATTTCGAGCAGAGAGTCAGAGACCCCTGACATTGTCCCCGTTCAAGGAATATGTACAATACAAATACAAATGCACACTCCACTTGGCATCTATCTACAGACCGTAATCCACCGATGGTAGTGCAATCGATCGATATATTAGGACGAAATGGGTAAGATTCGATCCATGCTTACAAGGAAGGTCCGAGCAAGCAGTCTGTATTGTGGGCTGAGAGGAGCAGCTCTGGCTGGTTTTGATTTTTAATCTGTTTCTTTCGGGAAAGGGTAGTATGTAGAGGAGGGTACCCAACAGTGAATTCTTCCTAAGGGGGAGTAATCAATGCTCTTAGAGGTTCCTCTGGCCGTAACGGGAGGAAACGTATGCTCGGTGCTTCTCTATTTTGGTGACTTGGTGGTGGAAAAGGAACCGGCCCTGTTTCAAGAAAGGAAAAAGAATGCTATTTAGCGGACAGCCTAAAGCAAGGCACAGAGAGATCAACAGTACTGGAAGCCACAAAGGCCGCTGACAATGTAAGCATAATCTTGCTTGGTCAGCTATTCTGGCTGCTCGTCAATGTGTTCCTCAATGTGCACATGTAGCTGCTCCCCAATGTGTTCCTCAACGGGCAGGTGTAGCTGTTCTTTTTTTATTTTTTATTTTTATTTTTAATTTGGACCACTTTTTGATTTATGTGTGGCATCCTTGCACAGGGGCCATGCTAATCTTCTCTGTATTGTTCCAATTTTAATGGATGTCCCCCTGAAGGACATGTGCAGCTGTTCTGACTGTTCCTGTACACCGTAAACTGGCTGTACAGGCTGTAATCGAATATTATATAGAGGACAGTGCAGTATAGAGGCAGAAAAGGGAGTAACAGTACTCCAAGGCAGAAAGACCATGATGGCAATATGAGCACATATTTTTTCGTTTAATGTGCATTGGTTTTCACCTGGCTGGACTGAATGATTGTTCTGTTTAACAGGCCAGAGGGAAGGTACTTCCATTCAAGGAAGTCAGCATTGCGGAGCTTACAGGAAATGGGAAGCAAGAGGCCAGTGCCAGTAAAAGAGGATGAAGCAGGTCGCCTATCTGCGAAACAAAGTGCTGCACTCGTGCTCAAAGAAGAGAACGGGAATGGCAAGCGGGTAGCCATACAAAACTTCAAGAAGGGGAAGAAGATGAAAGGTGTTGGCCTCTTCATCTGTGATATCTGTCGGAAGCAGTTCACACATCTCAGAGGATGGTCAGGTCATCGCCATAAGCACAGCCAAGAGATTGCAAAGCAGAAAGGGGCACAGAGGAAGCGTTACTTGTTGGAAGAACCCATAGATATTGATGAAGAACAAGACGATGGAAGGGACACCCTTGGGGGGGAGAGACCTCAGCCTCGAACGAGAAAGTGTTTTCTGTTCACTTGCTGTTTGTGCAGTAAAGGGTTTGCTTCAGCACTCGATCTGGATAGGCACATCAGGACATACCATCATTGTGGAGAGGAGGAGGCTGAGCCGGTAGTTAAGAGGGAAAGTAGGAGCATAAAAGGGAGGTTAGGGGAGGGGCAATTGCATGAAGATGAGCAATGTGTGAGAAAAGATGGCAAAAATTCGGAAGGGTTAGCTTGCTATAGGCTGAGTAATTCAGCGAACAAGTTGGGTCAATGCAGGGTGAATGAGGAGTGTCACAAGAGTATTGGTAATAATAGGAGAGAAACTGAAGAAGATGGGCAGCATGAGGCTGAAGGACAGTTGTGCTTTGGGCCAGAAGAAGCAGAACAGTTGCGACAGGGGGACCCTGGCTGTGCTGTTATGAGAACAGACCAGCGGCTGGCAGATGTGGTGTATGTAGATACCCTCAAGGACCAAGATACGGCATTGGTTAAGAAGAGGATGGAAGACGGAGCTGAGGATGACCATACAAGTGAAGTGAGATTGGTAAATGGGAGAGATTTTTGGAATTGTCAGGTGGGGAAGAAACGAGCGTGGAACGAGGATGTGGCACATGGCAAGCAGCAAAGTGCCAGACCTATGGTAAAGCAAGCCCCTACTGGACGTAAGCGGTCAAGAGGGCGGAAGGAAGCTGATGGAAATGGAGTTTGGAGAGACGAGAAAAGCAGAATTGGTGCTGGCGTTGTGAGACACTGCCAGGGCAGAGTGGTCACCTCAACACAAGAAGGGGTGGACCTGGGCTCCACAGGCATGGTCGTGGGTGCATCAGAGGAAAATGAGCGGTTCTCTCCCAGGGAATTTGTTTGCCCTGTGTGCTTTGCAGGGTTTTCTAGGCCAGCAGCACTAGGGGTTCATGTCGGCATACACTTGCCGGCAGCCTTCCACTCATCTCCACATAGCAGCCAGAGGGGTTCAGGTGCCACACCACGAGGGAAGGACTTTACTTGTCCAGTTTGTGGCGAGGGTTTTGCCACAGAGATGGGTCTTGTCCGACATGGTGAGTTGTATCATGTTGTTACACTGAAGAGGAGCCACCAGAGCGCCTTCACAAGATTCGGTGGGGAAATAATTGATATTCCATCGCAAGTAATGCTGCGGAGAAAGTCTGATGCACCCATGGTCTCAGGGAGAGCTAACTTGCAGGATGCTCCTTCCAGCTCCTCCGAAAAGATGAAAGACATGACGACAGATGAGGACCTGAACAGCCCAGAGCAGCAGCAAAGACAGCAGTCGAAGAAGCCAATATTCCATTCAACTTACGAGGTAGGCCCCATCCATCATCTGCTGCTCGTGGATGTGAATCTGTCCGTGGATGTTTTCCCATGTAGTCGTTGTTTTCGTAGTGTTATGAGCAACTACATACAGCTCGTTGAGCAGCACGACTCCAAAACTGAGCTGGTTAGTATCCTATGATTCCTGCTCGTTGTTTGGAGCATTTCAATGCTCCTTCATTCTAAGTTCAGGCGGATCGCTCGTCTTCAGTTCAGCATCGTTGTTTGATCAGCACCTCTTTCCGATGCTCAGCAACAGTTATCATTCACAAGCTTTCACTGGGTTTCTTATGGAGGTCACAATAATGTCTCACAAATTTATCTGCTATGCCTTTTCATTGCTGTTAGTGAAGCACAAGTTTATCAGGCATGCACACCAAGAGGCATGCGTTCATCTAATAATTGCAAGCTTTGTAGTAGGCCTCATACATAGCCTGGAAGGTGTGCAACATAATGATGATCACGCATCATCTCCTTTGGAGTTCCCATCAACGCGTGGATGACACTGCAGATCCAAGCCTATTTGAAACACGGTGTGCGGTCTGACTCTTGATGGATTATTTTGAATGTGAGGATAAGCATGATGAAGTTATCATCTGTTGCTGCAATCAGAGAAGGAGCACATAAGTGGAGTAGAGATAGAGAATAGGAAAAGAAAAGGCTAAAAACAAGAAGTAGATGACGCGGAAAACTATGGTGCGAATTCCAGGTCCAATGCTAGTAGGGAAATACGTAAAAAAACAGTGCTGTAAACCCGGTAGGCCCCCAGGTCCTACCGGGTCGGTAGGACCTGGGGGCCCTCCCCCAACCGGAACTGGACTGGTCCTGCTGGCCAGTTCCCCCCTGGTTGACCGATTTTTTTTTTCTTTTTTTCTTCTTCTTTTTTTTCTTTTTTTAAGGCCCAGGGTGTTGCAGAGGTGAATGACTAGATCCACGGTGATCGCTGGCAGCGGCAGCCAGTGGTTGTCCTGACAGGATAGGCCACCTTCCCTACCCTTCCCCACGTTAATGCTCCCATCACACCCCAAATCCCTAGTATCCTACCTCAGTGTGACCAGCCCTCAGCACCATCACCCTACCAGTATCGAGGGCAACTTGGACCAGACAGCAGTGACATGCACCCCCACCCCCCTTTTCAAAGTTTTTGGGTGGGAAGTACCGTCCCTACCCTGCCACTAGCACCCCCAGCCCCCTTTTCGGAGTTTTTGGGTGGAAGATTAACGTTTGCAGAAAGCCAGGTACGGTGTTGTCAATGTCTGCTGAAGCCCGTGCTTGCTGAAACCCCACCACTAATACCCTCACCATAAGCCCCCCATTCCTGACCCCCATCACCCCAAACGAAACTTCTCTGTTCAAAGTTTTCTTTGCGGATTCGGGGGGATCTCGGTCAGCGCAGTCCTATCATGTTTTCAAAACCCCTTTTTTTTTGTAGCCCACTTTTGGGCGCAACCGGAATTCGGGTTGGGGGTCCAACCGGCCGGTGACCTGCACAGCCCTGTAAAAAAATAAACTAATCCTAAAATGGCTGCGGTACATCTGGGTTCCACCACCATGAGTCCATGCCATACCCGCAACTGCACTGTGCGGTGCGCCACATGCGGTGCAACACGGCACTTGCCGTGCGCTGTACCATCAGCAGTTTCTTTCTTCTTTTGTTTTTTGCGTTTTTTGTGGATGCAGAAGAGTGCACCACCTAAGGAACAGATCCTTTTCACGTACATTCGTACAGATTGCCAAAGCAAATGGCATGGGACAAAGTAAATGGCCAACCGGTCCGGTACCCATTCCTACTCGATCATTCACAGATTGCCATTCTGAATCCAATAGGGCTGCCATGGCCATTGGATAGGGTGGTCGCTCTGTCAAGCTCTTCCTGGATAGGCAGATAGGCAGTTAATGCGCAGGCCTCCTTTCCAGTGTTACC